GAGAATTGCCTTTATTAAAAGGCATTGTGTAGACAAAATCTTGGTAGGTTTTTTACTCAGAGGGGTTCTTACACTGAGTTGATTACTTTCTCTTGAGAATGGGCACATACCCCTCAATCCTTTGTAAAGAGCTTGAACTTATTCCAAAGTACTGATAATATCAGAGCAACTCACTTTACTGTTAGGCTTAAATCCAACAGGCAATAGAACTAGTATATAGATCCAAGAAGAGAATATCTAATTGCTTTACTGTTAAACTTCATTTAACATTTTGGACTGTTTAGTAAATCCAGTTTCTTCTCTCTTCAGTTTTGATCTCTTGGAGGGACAAGAGGCAGTTCAGAGCAGCTCATATCTGTCCATAGTGGTGGGGTGTAGAAAAAAGTGTAGCAATTGATGCTTCTCTAACTGCATGTCTAGAAGCAATGTACTACAGGAGAAGATCTATGGCACCCTTCACTACTCATACTATTTATAGCTGCCAAACAGAGCTTTCCGCAGTCAAACCGCACCATTGTGCTTATTTATATTGAGTTCTCATTACTACAGAGGACTTCAATAGTGTTAGATGTAAGTATTCAGTGTAAAGTACTAGTAAGGTCGCTCAGTAAAGTAACATGAAAATGGATAAAGTCCTTGCTAAAAACCTCATTTAGGCTTTTTGTGAAGCATTTTATAACTTTGCAAATTAATTCATTTAAAACAACCATCTAGAAGTGGTAATCTACGGTCATAAGATACTTAATAAAAAATTAATAATATTAAAGGTTCCGAGCAACTTGCTTGTGCTTTCACTTTGCGTGCCTCCTGGATTTCTCTTAAGGAGAAACAAAGAATCTGCTCCTGTTTCAGCATTCATATTTGGCTTTCCTTTCCAGCTTGAGTAATGTCTCCATCTAGTCTTTATTCAGGCTAAAACAAAGTGTGAAGTCTTGCACTTGCAGATTTCCAGGTGACAGGAGAGTCCTACAAGGCACAAATCTAATTAGTGCAGTAAGTCCTGCTCAGTTCAAAGCCTTAGAAGTGGAGATAACTTCTTTCTTTCCCACTTGACATGCAGTTGGAGTCAGTGCAGGTCTACACAAAAGGCCCGGCAGACAGACTGCAGCCTGCATTTAGCAGGCCTCAGGTAAGGCTCATTTGCCCAACTAAGGAAATAAACGGCCCCCCAAGTCAAGGGGGATTCATAGCAGGTTCTGCATTTAAAGTAAATGATGTTTCAAAAACAGCTTGCATTGTTTTTCCTGGTCTAGAAAGAGGCAGATAGGGCTTATCAGACCTCATAACTAAGGTTGGGAAAAGCCTTGTATACAAGCTTGCAGCTGAGTCATTGCTCATTTACATTAGTTCTCACTAACCTGTTTAACTAAACCTATACGAAGTTGTCAAAGCATTAGTCCAGCTGCAACAGTCTTAATCACATAATTGAACTCCTTTGCTTGACCTTATGCTCAACTGAACTGTGGATCCAGCAGTTCTGACGCCATTAGTCCTTGAAAACAATGATCAGATGAGGTCTTTGCCCAACCCTATTGAACACGGAAAACTAATGCCTCTTTTGCCTATAACAAACACATTATATTTGCTGCTACAAAATACTATTTAAAAAGCTTTTTAAAAGTCTGTGTTAAGCAGAACACAAGCTTTTTGTGAAAGATCTTTAAATGCAACCAAGAAAAGGTACTTGACTGAGTTATAAGATGTAGCCTGCTCTACTACTTTTTGGCTTCGGTTGTCTGTTCCATGCAGTTATGCTATCACGGCCTCTGGCACTCAGCCTAAAGCAGATTCACCTCCTGCATGCCAGGAGTAAACAGAGACAAGCTTTGCTGCATGGAAGCAGATAATATAATGTTAAAACCCCACAAATTATATACTTCTTCATAAATACCTAAGCATGTTTTTTTTATAAGATTATATTTTAACTGACTTACATTTCTTCAGAAAGTGTAACAGCCCTTTTCATCAAGCCAAACACTGGTTTGAAATACATATATAAAAACCACTGCCCATTACAGCCTGAAGTTTTAACAATACTGAAGTTTTTGAGAGCATTAGCTGCTACTAGATGATCAGTTCAGGTCCCTCCTACCATCTCAGAAAAAATATACTTATTTACACTAAGTAGAGATCATATATACAACATCTGAGTATTCAATAGAACAGAGCAATCTGCTATAAGCTTATCTATCAGCACAGCCATTAAAAGGTATTAGTTTGTTTTAAGTTTAAGGAAAAACACCTGTTAGAATTAATCCAGTTTAAATAAAACAAAATAAACTGTTAAAAAGGCAAATCAATATTTACATTTAGTTCCAGTTCAGTGGTTTACATAAGGTAAAGACCTAGTACCAGAGAAGTAAATGAAAACTACAAGTGCATGGCCAACCTTTATCTTAACTTGAAGTTAGTTGCATCTATTTTTGCTGTGTCAAGTATCCTTAAAAAAAAAAATAAGTTGTATTTAAAAATCTAGTTCCTACCTTCAAAAGAAGTTTCACTTGTCAGCATACTCTATCTGATCACAGAGCTTCAGAGTGGCATCTACAAGTTATTTTCATTAGCTTTCATTATCAGGAATTAAAAATGGAAGGTATTCCAAGGTGAGCTTCACATTTCCACTGTCTAAAATTGACTGGAAGAAACAGTGAATGAAGTGTATTCACTAATGCAATGTTTGGGTTGGTTTTTTTGTTTGTTTGGTTGGTTTTCTGGGGGTTTGTTTTGTTTTGTTTTTTTAAAGTTGAGCATTACAAAAGAAAATTTTCTTGCATCTATAAGAACACTTAATGGCCTGACTGTATCTGTAATTAACAGAACTCCACTACAGCCTTGTGATCACATTCATGTTTAGATTTAAGAAATGTCCATCTTCCACTTACAGCAGGCTAACACAGGACAGCATATCAATACTTTCTCCATTTCTTCCCTATTAAGAAAGGAGAACACGACTCAAAGATACCCAGTACAACACCACATGCTAATGATGGCACACCAAAGCCATCACTTACACAGGCCAACTCTTGTGTTCAGCACAACAGAACTCTAGTTTTAAGCATCAACTATATTGTTTCCATTGATCAAAGCAAATTGGGGAAAAAAAAAAAAATCACACAACATATTCAAAGTACTCAAAAAATATCACCAAGAACAGGTGGTATTTAGGAAGTTTCAGTCCAACCACAGTTCCTACAATTAAGCAACCAAGTGTGAGGAAATCAGCCTACTTGAATTCCTCCCAGGGAAGTCAAGACTAATAAGCTGATCAATGCCAGTGAGTATATTCTTCTCCCAGCAAATACTAGCCAAGCTGAGAAGCTGTTTAGTAGAAAAAAAGATCTGTACAACCTGCTCTAAGTGATCTCATTTTGAAAGATGAGAGATTTTGCTCTTCTAAACTCTGCCACAGAACTTCCTATTTTTAAATCACAAAATATAGCAGCTTCCATGCGAATTGAACGACTACGTTTGTCAAAATATCCAAACACTTGAAACTGCATTAAGTCTAAAAATAATAGTCATCAAAAATAAAGGTGGATGAATTATTTATTTCAAGTATTGGGGAGACAAGAGAAAAATCCATCCCCACTGGGAAATGAGATGAACCACTAGGAATAAGACTAACACCTATATACTAAATTTTAAGATGAGTCTAAATACAAGGGAACCACCTTGCAAAAGACACCACAGCCTGAGAGACTGGGAACAAAGAACTAATGGTCTAGTTATTTCCACTAGTACAAAAACAGTTCAAAATTACATCTTTCCCAACAACATAAGTAGGAAGAAAACCTGAGGATCTGCTAAGACCTTCTGGAAGCATAGTCTGAATTCAGTAGCTAGATAACACTGATATGAAAATGAGAACACAGGACAACTATTTATCTTTTCAATCAATTAGTGATCACTGTGAAGCCTTTTCCTATGTATATAAACACATACATAGTTCAACTCCTCTTTATACAGCGTAGCTGAAAGTTTGCAAGAGTGAGAACAACCAAGAGCTTCAGGCAAAAAAAATCTGGACCATTCTGAAGGCCATAAATCTTTTGCTAAAGATCAATTTCTTAAACAAGAGACCAAAGCAATCAATAAAATTGATAAACAGTAGTGCAATGGCTAGTGCAATTCACACCACAAAAATTGTATGCAGAGGGAAAGGAAGGTGAAAGCCAACATTGTAAAAAAGAAATCCAGCATGATTTCAATAGCTTGTTTTTCTTAATGAAACGAGACTAAAACTCATTCTCAGTTTTAGTCAAGTTTCAGAGGAATAAAGATGCAATAAAATGCTACCATTCTCTCTCTCAAAAAAAAAAATAGACATAGATGGAAAGTCAAGGAAAGCTCCACAGTTAGTTATCTGCATGCTAGTCACTACTCACAGCTCCAAAACATCCACAATACATCTTCTGGTCAAAAATGGATGGTTAACAACACAGACGAGCAAGAATTATATTGGATGTTACAGTGAATGGCAAATTAAGAGGATTACATGAAAATAGTAAAAGACTTCAAGTTCCATTGGTACTGTTGCTCATGGAACAGTTCATATTTACAACTTAATATAAGTGGCAGAATCCGCCATCTGTCAAGTCGCCCTGAGAATGTTCTCAGGAAAACTAATATCTGAACTTGTGAAATTGAATAAAATACTTCTCTGCATATTTGTATGATAAACATGTACACTGAAGTGACACTTCAGATCCTAAACTATTCACTAGGTAGGGTTTATTTTTAAGGTCTTCTACATACATGTTAAAGCAAATGGGAGACTTTTAAAGTTAACTGGAATGCATTATTACACATGGTTTCTACTAGAAATAGTAATTTCTTCAGATTAATTAAATAAACTGTAAGCAAGCTGTTTTCTGGACATAGCTATAGATCAAAGCTACATCTTAGACCACAGCAAATCAAAGCCATGAAGAGACTGAGCTGCTTATTACAGCTGAGCATGCGCATATAACAGGAAATACAAGAAATTAAATTTATCTTACCTTCAGGTGCATCTGCATCACAGTCTTTAGATACAAATGTCGTCACATTCCTTGTCTGGCCATCCATTGTCTTATTACTCTGTTATAAATATGGAAAATTAGTACATTAGTCTACCAGCAATGTTCTTCCGTACATAATGACAGTCCCTGAAACAAAAGGCATCTCACAATACATTCTTCATTTCATAAAAAAAGCTTTGACAAACCTCTTACAATATTCAAAGGGATTAAGATTGTTTTTGAACAGCATACGCAGAGTAAACTATAAGTTGTACAACATCAACATCTCTAAATATGCTTTTATTTAGAAAAAGTTAACAGTTTGGGTTCTTTTTGAAGACTCATGAAAAATAAAAGCTTCGTATCTGAAATTAAACCTTTTAACTGTGCATAAAATGAATCTGGAATTCAATTTTGGTGATGAAGACACCATGGAAGTGTTAGGCTTGCATAATGATACCAAATACAGTTTACTGCAGGTCTAAAAGCCAGACGACAGTATCCGATATACTTAGATAGCCGAAGTGGAGGAAGATGAATTGTGTTGAAGTGAGCTATTGAAAGTCCAAATATTCTTGTTTCTGTCTTTATGTACCACATCTGTTTTTGAATAATCGGTAAATAATGTTAGCACAGTCCAATGCAAATCCTTTGTACTGCATTGATTTTTTCATAAACTAACTCACTTCAAAAGGTGTCATAGCTACTGTACTTACTTCCACCCTTATTATTTCCTAAACAGGAAGCCCTGTAAAGAAATCAGTAAGGGTCAACACCTTTTCTCCTTCAGGCTGAAAAGACATCCCTTAAAACCTACCAGAAATCAGTACAAGCTGGCACATGAAATTAAATGTTTCTGACAATACTGATAAACTCTGCCAATTAAGTAAACTCAGCTTTCACTGTGAGTATTCAAGAAAAGCAGCCAAGTGCCTACTCTAAAAAGCAGCAGTTTGCATGAACACTTCACTTCATTCCATGCAAACACATGGAAGCATGGAGACCACTACTGCCTTAGGAGAAACTGATCTAAAAGGAGTATCATTAGGCACAGGAATAAGGAACTAAAGTGGAACCAAAAGGAAGAGGACAACACGTAGAAAGAAACAATAGGATAAGAACAGAAAACATGAAATATCAATTATTCAGTGTACATTTAGCAGTGTTCCAGATCCAGGATGCATTCCAGCTTGCTGTCACCTTTACAGCTTACCCTGCTCAGTCTGAGAGTGTTCCTCTTTCAAAAGAACAGCATTATACATTGTACTATTATACAGGGGCATACAAAAAGCACAAAAAAATCAGAATCTTGCCATTTCAAAATTTTGTCTTTGTTATTGCTATTCATTTTAATTTTTAAATAGTAGGAATTTTAAATACAACAAGCAATGATAGCTAGACCTGCAGCTTCCCTTCGATAACATCTATGCTTTTTCCAGGTCTGATATCATGCTTGTTCTCCATGAACACTCCAGTCATTTAATACACCTGACATATCTGGATTCAAACTCTAAATGCATTCCACAAGCTCTGGGCACTGGGGTGTACCTTACAGTCATAAAATCAGCCTCTTTCCTTAGCAACCCTTTCTTCTCTCCTACGCAAGGCAAGACCTTGTAAAGGTCCACTGAAAGTTTTCTACCTTTTCACAAACCAGACATGAAAAAAAATGAAACATGTATTCCTAAACAGAGATACAAAGTAAAGCATTTTATAGTATTAAACCTTCTTAATAAAAATTAAGAATCCTATTTGCCGTGCTAAGAGGAACGGTAATCTGATTAACTCTATCAGCTGAACACCATTTTCATTTTTATGTAGCTAGAATTTCTAACATTCATATTTAAGATTCTTTAATATAATTAGTACTACACAGAGCAAACTACACAAGTATTAAACAAAGCAAAAGTAGTCTTACACAAAGACAACTGAAAGAAAAGAAATAAGCCGGAAGTTATTACTTAGATTAAAAGATAAACTAAAAACTAACAATATTTATTGTAAGACTCAGCAAGAGTTCAGTATCACTTCATCCAGTGAAAGAAAAAAAAATAAATTACACTTTTGCCAGCATAGAATTCATTTCTGCATGCTAGAACTCTTTTAAGCAGGTCCCTGACCAGGCCAAAATCTGCTCTCCTGAGTCCACGTTTGTGATCCCACTATTTGCCTTGTTCACTCCTCTCAGGATTCTGAACTTTAATCTTATGCTCACTGCAGCCAAGACTGCCCTTGATCCCTTTGTTTTCAGCACCAGGTCCAAGACAGCATCTCCCTCTTTCAGCTCCTCAGTTGCCTGCCTCAGGATGTTGTTGTCAGCATACTCCAGAAGCCTCCTGGATTGCTCGTGCTCAATTGTGTTGCTTTTCCATCAGATACCCGGGTGGCTCCTATGAGGATCAGGGACTGTGAACATGAAATTAACTGACAGGTGCTTTAAGGGATCATCTGCTACCTTCTCCTGATCAGACAGCCTGTAGCATACACCCATGCTAACCTGCCCTCTAGTCCTAACCCCTAAACACTCAGCTGGTTTATCCATCCCAAGGCAAAACCCCACGCATTCCCACTGCTCTCTCACGTAATGCTCAGCTGGGCTATGGGCCATCTCAGCCTGTCTCTCTTCGAGCCCACACCTAGCCCCAACAGCACTCCAGCCTATGAGCTACTGCACCATAGCGCTGATCCCGGGGAGACTGCAGACCTGCAACTGCATGCAAACTTCTAACTCCTTTTATCTCCCCTGCTGTCTGCACTAGTATGCAGGCACTTCAGAGGCACCTAAGTTGTGCAGAGACTGATGTTAACCACTTAATTCTCTAGAAGATTTTATAGAACAAGAAGTGCAATGAGTTTCATGAAGTCAGGCAGTCCAAAGTGTCTCATGATTAATTAGCACATCCTCAGCTTCATTCTGATTATCCTCTGCTGTACTAAGTTATCTTTGTCATTTCTCACAGATATGCACATCAAAACTATCAACTGCAGAACAACATTGCCTTCAGTCTATAGACTGTCTCACACACCAAAACTAATCACTGCAGCCACTCAGCAACCTAAGCGTACCAGAACAAACTCTAGTGGAAGCAAGCAGCCGTCTTGGCAAAAGAAGTAAAGCAATACTTAAAGTTTTACACTGTGTGCGGATGATCTAGAAATCAAGTTGTGTTATATACAGTACAATCAGTTTCCAGCTTGTGGATTACCAGGAGACCTTAGGAATAGCTAAAAAACCTGGCTACAAGAGTCGTCAACACTGAGACTGGGCTTGGCTTTAAAAGTTGCTGTAAACAGTACATTTTTGATAAAGAAGATTTTTTTTTTTTTAAAAAGTATGACATCTCACCTGTACCAGGTATTTTTGGCTTCCATACATCACATACTGAGGAGCAAGACTGTAGATCATGTAACTTGTATGAAGAACTATCAGCAGAAGTATCATACAGAGAAACAAGAGTGCTTGAGGTCGAGTTTTTCCTCGTCTAATTTTATAAAGCTGAAAACAGAAAACATGCAAATATTAACAAAACGAAAAAATCTTTTTTTTTTCCCTGAAGATATTTAAAATCCTCTTTAACTCAAGTAACAGCTCTAATTCTACAGACAGAGTGTAAAGCTGCTAAAATTATTCTCTGGAAACTTAATTCCTTAATTCCAATGACTCAAAGCAGGCTCCCAGGTGTTTTTACCTGAACTTCAAAGCACAGCCATTTAACCAAATTAATTGTTTGCATTAATGACCCAAAACATTTATAAACCCACAGTCAGCAGCAAGATTTAAATGGTGTTGCCTATCCTGGGCCTTGGTCTGTCAAAGAACATTGTGTCCTTCAGTCAACGTGAGGTATCATCTATCCCTACACCTCTAATCAGATCTAGAAATGGAGGAGGGAGTTATGAGAAAACACTAATTCCCAGGCTCTGAGAAAACTTGCACACCATATGGTGGCATCTTATCCACTTGACACTGCGGGGAACAATATAATCCCTCGTTGTTACCCTGTAGATACCACTCTATTCTGTAATCCCCAAAGGCTCAACCCGTGTACGACATTACAGAAAGGAAGCTGGCAACGGAGGAGTAAATGATAGAAGACAAACCCAACAGCCAATTTCACAACTCACTGCAAGGACTCTGGGTCTCCGTTCACAACTTTGGGGTGTCACCCCATGAAAGGGTGACAGTATTAAAGAGAAAGTAGGCACAAAAGCAGGGAAATACTTCACCAAGCATCATAGGCATGAATGGCATAGTGCTGGATACAAAGCTGCTTTTTCAGATATCTAAATATGCAAATAATATATTAGGGTATGTTATACCATCGCTGTACTGTTTTATCTCTTATCAAGGTAAATTTGCTTGCCACCTAAAAAGCAAGTCAAGCACTACTGACTGGCATGCACATGTCAGATTTTGACAATAAAATCCACTAATACTTCTAGTACATCAGAATCACGTGGCTTTAACTTCAGAAAGTCAGAAGCCAAAGTGCCACTGATTAAATGCTTGAAAGAGTCAGCTGACTGCATTGCCTATCAAGCTAAAAACATCCCCTCTGCTCTGCTCTCCTGAGACCCCACCTGCAGTGCTGTGTTCAGGTGTGGGGCCCCCAACATAAAAAAGCCCTGGACCTGTTGGAGAGAGTCCAGAGGAGAGCCACGAAATTGGTCAGAGGGCTGGAGCACCTCCCCTGTGAGGACAGGCTGAGAGAGTTGGGGTTGTTCAGCCTGGAGAAGAGAAGGCTCCGGGGAGACCTTAGAGCAGCTTCCAGTGCCTGAAGGGGGTACAGGAGAGATGGGGAGGGACTCCTTACAAGGGCATGTAGCAATAGGACGAGGGGTAATGGATTTAAACTGGAAGAGAAGAAGATTTAGACTAGATATGAGGAAGAAATTTTTTCCTGTGCGGGGGGTGAGGCAGTGGCCCAGGTTGCCCAGAGAAGCTGTGGATGCCC